ATTTTCTTTATCTGAAGGATGTTGGAGGGAAAGTGTGATGGCCATAAACATTTGATGCCTTGGTTTTACAACTGTGCCCATCCCAGCTGAGTTTTATGATGTGGGTTATCAGGGTCCTATCTCAGCAAGGTAGGAGGAGACACAGGACCATCGGAATGTAGGATAATTTACAAACATGCCTCGTCTATATTTTAGGACCACTGGATATATACTAAAGATAAAATAACATTTCCTTAGCTTATGTTTCATTTATTCAGAAGTAACTCAGGTTAGACACATTTGTTTAGGTTAAAGTTATCCCTGCTGGCTGTTTAAAAACATCGGCCATAAACTAAGTTGACAAGAAGGCACCATTAACATTCTTGTCTTTATGGCCACCCACGGTCTGTGAAAGTGAGCCACAATTTGGCTAACACTGGTAGAAGCAACAGGTTAAGTCAAAGTTGCTACTACCTATAAATGCAAATGCACTGTGGTCTTAGCTGTGGCACAGTATCTGGCTCCTTTGTAAAATGCCATAAATCAGGGGTGTCCAAACTTTTTTCAGAGGGGGCCAGATTTTATGAAGTGAACATGCGTGAGGGCCGACCATTTTGCCTGACATTCTTTGAACCATTAAAATTAAACGCAAATTAACTATTTTATGCAAAGTTTATTGCAAACGGCATACTTTTCATTTCGTCACATGGGATGACAAATCTAAACAGGTGTTAAATCACTCTGCCTTTCATATCTGAAGGCCAGATGAAAAAAAAAATCCAGGAAGCTGAAATATATGTCAGGAACATTGTAAAGTACATTACATATTATTGGTAATAAAGGTTGTCTGTCAACTTTTAAGTTCAAAAAATATGAACAGGAACATAACACCAAGTATACATGTTGTGTCCAAATATATTTATAACTGATTTAGACCAACTGACTTTAACTGAGATTTTACAATGTATTCATCTCAATACATATGGATTCATTGGGGGCCATAAAAGATAGATATTGCCAAATTACCCGTGGGGCCGTATTAAACCGGATCACGGGCCGCAATTGGCCCGCGGGCCGGACTTTGGACATGCCTGCCATAAATAGAGAGGTCATGTCATGCTCTTTCAGACGGAGAAGCGCATCGGGCTAGGTCCTTTCACATAGCTAAGATCAATTTACCCTAGATCTGCTGGGCAGCTTTTAAGTGTGGCGAGGAAGAGTTATGGGGCTGAAGGGAAGTGCTAGAAAAGAGCTGAGTTATTCAGCAACAGGGTACGGTCAGCTTCGTGTCAACTAGTTGTGATAAAAATCTGGTCCTGGCCTTGAACAGGGCAACCACGGAAGATCTAAAGCAGGGGTCTCAAAATCGCAGCCCACAGGCTGGCCAGAGCCCTTGTGCAATCCAGCCTAGGACTCCAGCAGGCCGAGTAGGGGGGCCTGTCCGTTACTTGCCCTTTCCTGCCTTTTCCCACTCTCCCTGCCCCCGTGACATCCCCTCCTGCAACTGCGCAGATTTGGGGATCATTTGGGGGGCTGGCGCTGCTGCGCTCTGTTTCTCCCACGGCCCCTGCTGCTGCAAGGAGTGCAGGGGAGCTCGAATGCTGAGGCCACAGTAATGGACAGGCCCTGCCCCCCTACCCCCAGTCCTCCAGGAATCCCAGGCCAGATGATACAATCACTCCAGCTGGGACTAGCCCGTCGGCTGGGAGTGTGAGACCCCGACCCCTCCCTATGATGTGTCCCCTTCATGCACTCGTTTCGGAAGTCTATCGCCACCACCAACTCGGGATGGAAAACCAATACCTGGTAAACATCACCCATCCATATCCCTACTTCCAACCCAGCCCTTGTGACTCAGCTGGGTCCTAAAAGGCGTTCATTCTTCTTTCATTTTCCAGCCAAGAACCGGGAAGCCTGGGGATGCATTCCCCAGCAGAGTCAGCACTGAGCAACACGCCTGTTCAAACCCTGTTTCTGCTTCCCATGGTTCACCCCCCCCCCCCCAACTTCAATGCCAACTAGATCCGGCTGTTGTCACAAGTGCGCTGGCCTTTGACTCTGCCTAGAATGATGGTTGTCTCTTGTCACTCTCTCTGCACTGCGTCCCTCTTGGGAGGGCTACCGCGGCCCAAGGTTTAGTGCTGTAACAACCTGCTCAGTGGAGGAAAAGAACCAGGATGGAGGGGGTGAGACTCTCTGCAGCAGCTGCTACCTCTGATGGTTTCTGGTTGGTGCGACTGTCTTCCGTAGCACCAACCATGTGCTGTTCTGCAGGAGGTTTCCTGGTTGTGGGCAGTTTGCTATGAGTCGTGTCACTGGGAAGCAGGCTAGAGCAAATACTAGCAGGCACAGTGACATGGTTTATGGATGAATCAGAGGAATCCTGAAAAGGTGTTAACAGTGTGACCAACAGGCACCAGTTCTGGGGCTGAGAGCTTTATTCTGCTCCTTTATTCATTCTTTTTGACTGCGAGTTTGTTTCTCTTGCTGTTAGCACCTGGCAGAACAGCCAGACTCAAATCGTTCACAGAGATCATATGGTAACGTGTTCGGGTTGATAGGGGGAGGCTGTTAATGAGCACTCAAAGAATCGCTTCAGTGACTGCAACTTCAGTGGCTCTAGTCTGAATGTACATTGAGTCTAGCAGTTCGGTTTGGATATGTCCCGAAACAGTCAGATGCTCCTCCAAATCCCTTTGGTCTGGAAACTAGCGTCGCAGTCTCTCCAGAACACAAGATTCCTGGTTTTGGCTGGGCTGAAAATACCACAAGAATGGTCTTGCTTGTAGGATTCCAGGACTCTCACTTCCAGGCCTACCTCAAGCGAGGGTGTGCCTAAGAAAAGAAGAAAATATATGAAACCTAGCTTGATCGTACAGAAGTCTGGATCTACTCGTTGTGTATATTGGCAAAGGAGTTCTGCAGCCATCAAGTACTGCTAGCCTGTCTCTCTCAATTAAATCAATTTCATGGCTAACAAATCCAATGGCATCTCACCTGGCTATGATTTTCCAGTGCTCCCATCACCCTGATCTCTGGCACCAAATACAGATAATAAAATCATGCCACTACAGAGGATTTATTCTCCACTACTCCTTCCTTCGTGTAAAAAGTCCCATAACATTTCCCAAGTAAGACCGCATTACAGTTGCAAAAGGTCTAACTTGAGACGTCCAACTTGAAAATGTTGTCCGTAGCCTTTGTCAGCAGGTGCAAGCTTGGGGCTTTTTTTGTTCAATGCTTGCAAATAGCGTTTCACTTTGCAAACAAAACTAGCTAGTGCACACGTGCAAGAACTAATTTTCAGTATTTTCATTCCCCCAAATATGGCTCCAGAGCGGTAAAGCCATTAGCTGCAGGGCAATTACATGAGATAGCAGTTGTTTCAATGCCCATGAACATGTCATGTGGCCTTACTGTAACCATTGCACTGTATAATAAATATTACACGACATCTAGAAAGAGTGAAATAAAGCAATAGGCTAGGCATTCCCATATCGTCCTCAAATATCTGAAGTGGGAGGGGCTTGCTGCTGGAAGGCTCTAAGTTATGCGAAGAGAACTCTTCGAATGCAAAACAGAACGTTCACACCAGCTGGGGAAGTTCCGTACTGTTTGGATGTATGCAAATGAAGTCAAAGCTAGGAACTACCTGCTTGCAGAAAGGGAGGGCCTGTGTCCAGGTGCTGATCGTAGATGCTGGCTTTGTGAGAATTTTCATTGGGAATAAAGGCAACACACCATGGCACAATGTGTTAATAGTGCTGCATTATCTCTGGCCAACTCATGAGTATTAACCTATGTCATTATGGAAGTTTCACCATAGCCCGTTAGTGTTTCAATACACTGCAATCCATGGATTGCCTCGTGGGGTGGGTAGTAGGACATTTGGCTCTGCTGGATAGTTTCCTGCGATTTAATAATGGCTCTGTGTCACCTTCATTTTCTTGAGGCCCACTCCAGTTCTCACTGAAAGCAATGGGCTTCTTTCCACTAGAGACAACGGGCTCTGGGAACAGGCCTCATGTACTTTCTTGTCTCAGGAGGTGAGAAATCTGAGCAAGTTACAGAAGAGCCAATCTGACTTTCTTAAACGATAAAATAAATAGAACAGCTTGATATTTTCTACCCGTCAGAGAGCTGAGTACAGTGGCGATAGGACGAGGTTCTGAGACTTCCAAATAATGCCCCTTCACTAGTGATTCTGATCTACTTGTGTTTGCTTTCTTCAAATATTTCACTGGCTGGAATACCTGAAGAAATCGACTATTTCAAGGAAACAGTCGTGACCATCCCCATAAGGGCAATTTTACACTTGGGATGGCATTTGTGCCAGATGACTGGTCCTCGGAGTCCAAGTCAGAGAAGAGAAATAGACCATGTGGCCGCTGTGTTCAATACGAGTAACACACATCTCAAATACTCGCAAGCCTGGTGTGTCACCTTTGGCAAGTCACTTCACCTAGCTGTGCTTCGTTTTCTAAAATGAAGGATAACCATATTGCTCTCCTCTGTAAGGGTATGTCTACACTACCCTCCTAGTTCGAACTAGGAGGGTAATGTAGGCATACCACACTTGCAAATGAAGCCCGGGATTTGAATTTCCCTGGCTTCATTTGCATAAGCGGGGAGCCGCCATTTTTAAAACCCCGCTGGTTCGAACACCGTGCAGCACGGCTACACGCGGCTCGAACTAGGGAGTTCGG